CCCGAGCGCGAGGCCGTTTCAGCCCCCGGCCCCGCAGGGGCAGCTCCGACAGCGCCGCCTCCTTCCCCGCGAGGTCCCCTTCCCAGCGGCCTTGGCTGTGAGGCCGAATAAAGGGAAGATTCTGACTCATTTTTCCACCAAGTGAAATTAATGGGAAACATCTGAGATTGCAACAGCAGAGCCTGCGCTGGCACTGGCAGCTTGCGGCCATCCGCGCCAGGGTCCTGTGCCAAGCTGAGCCCTGTCCCCGCCACCGTCCCGAGGGGGATTTGCAGCACAAAAACACGGAGGCTCCAGGAGGCCACAGAGCGGTAGGACCAAGGGGTAGCTCCAATGGGCTCGCGGGGCTGGTTCGGGCACCCCCGTGCCCCATCCTGCAGCCCACAAGAGCCTCCCAGAGGCCACGGGCCAGGCTTGGAAGTTCAGTGGCCGTTTGCCGCTCCGGCAGCCCCACGGAGAGGGAAGAGGAAGGGTCCTGGGGCCCCCCGGTCACCCAGGGGTGAGCCTCGAGTGCGGAGCCGCTTCCTGCTCCAGGCGCCGGCGCCGGCTCCGGGAGGGCAGGGAAGGAGCTGCAGAGCTTACGGTAAGCGCAGGAGGCGGAGACTGCCAGGAAGCAGCAGAAACAAGGAAGGAGCAATTCTCGGGTTCGCAGCTTCTGTATCGGTGGAAATCAAAGCAAGAGCAGAAGGGAGAGAGCGCAAGCGCGCTCGGGAAGCGAGGGCACCGACCCTGCCCGCGCCAGCGGGAAAGGGCACTTCCCACGGGATCTTTGCTCCTCTGCGGAGGTTATTGCAGCGAGTGACACGTCAGCTGGGGCTTGGAAAGGGCCCTGCACCAGGAGCCCGTGCGTGTCCTGCCAAAGCCGGGACGAGATCCCTGTTGGCTCCCGGGGAGCGATTGGAGCTGCTGCCGGCAGCGAGCGGAGCCGGGCGCGTTTGTCGCACTCCAGCCCTGTCGTTAGGGCTGCTCTTTGCAAGGGGAAGGAAAGGGGACGGGTTGTGTCCTAGGCGCACGCAGGGACGGGCAGGACACGGTCCCCCCGCGTGGGGACAAACACGTTCCCAGCGCAGGTGACAGATGCAACGCGCTGGGGCGCCAGCCCCCGGCACCGAGGCGGTTTCCACAGCGCAAAGCACGGGCGATTCCTGCTCCCCACGGGCACAGCGGGATCCCCCAGGCTGCCCCGGCCCTGTTTGCCATGGAAATAAACTGCAAAACATCCGGGCTGAGAAACCCCAGGGCGAGCCCGGCCGCCTCCTTCCCCTCACAGCAGGGCCCAGGGACCCTCTCGCGCTGCCCCAGGCTGAACGTTCCCACCGGGAAGCCGCGGTCGC